CCCAGCCACTATCGTGGCTCCTTACTGCCCTTAGCCCCAGAGGGCTCTGGCACAGCTTTCCCGGCACTGATCCCTTCTCTCTTCCCCAGGTGATACACAACTATGGCCACGGTGGGTTCGGGATCACCAGCCACTGGGGCTGTGCCATGGCAGCAGCCAGGCTCTTTGGGAGCATCCTCCAGGAGAAGAAGCTGGCCAGCCCGCCGCAGCCCCGCTTGTGAGTTGCCTGCTCACCCGGGATTATCGTGACAGCAGTAGCTTAGAAATCACAGCAGAAAGATGCGAATAACACAGTGATATACTTGGGCTGTTCGACCCTCCTGCCAGCTCCAACACTGGTTTGCAGTGTCATTTTCCGCTTGCTGCCAGTTCTGTCGCTGCCATTTGCCAGACGGCCGAGTTCCCTCCACCCTGGCCTTGCACAACCTACCTAGAGGAAGTGCTTTAAAATATGGACTAATTATCTGTGGCAAAGTGCACTTCTGTCCCAGAGATCAGTCTGCAAAGGGCAGGCAGGGTTCAGCTGAAATCTTGACAGTCCTGCAGTTCATCTGCACGATGGGACAGGATCTGAAACCGAGCCGGTGCCACCTGAGGTCTTCACTGACTGCTCTGACACCCAGCATGTAATTAGATTTGCAAGCTTCCCCCAGGAGGCAAAAGCTCCTTAGTAGGAAGAAGCTCTGAAGCTCCCAGGGAAGTAACAACAGCTCTAAAAGCACATGCTTCAGTTACAATAGCTTTTCTTACGTTCATGCCAGGACAAAGCACGGGTCTACAGCACCTGGTTAGTGTATCTGGCAATAGACAGCAGCAGTTGCCTAAAATGGGCTTTCCCAATGATGTTTTTAGCAACAAAAGCAACACGTTCCAGCCCTGTGTACTTGCCAGGCTCTATATATAGCAGAGAGCATACGCAAAATAGCTGTTCTCGTCCCTAAAACTCCCACGGGCCCTTCAGTTTCTCATTTCCTCCAGCTGTGAGACATGGCTGGAGCAGCAGCTCGGAGAGAGGAGCTGACTCGGGTAGGTTGTGCCTCCCGAAGGAGTTGGGCACAGCTCCCAGGAGGGTATGACTTTTCAGAGGTGTTCAGTGCTGCTGCTAGGGAGCCAATGCACTGTTCTGAAGATAGAGTTTGGCTGATTTTTCCGTGCCACTTGTCTTTTCCTGCTCTCAAAAACATCACAGATAAGGTACTGAATGGTCAAGAAGCATTACCTCAAATCCAAAGGCTAGCAGTTGTCCCAAGCCCAGCACACAGTGCCTGGCTCTCTCTCCTCCGCAGATAAGCCAACTGTTTCTTACTCATCTGTGATGCAGCTTCTCTCTCCCTCTGACTCCATGTGCCAGAAATAGCTCATCAACCTGATTTGTGATGTACCAGGCAGCTGCACCTAGTGAATGAGAGATGCTGCAGTGCAGCTGGGCTCGTTTTACCTCCTGGGCACCTGGATTTAAAACAGTCCCATGAAAAGTGCATGTTTCCTGGCCACAGCCTGGCACCAGAGTTGCTCCCTGTTGAAGGACCCGTCTCCTGATATGCTGCTTCAGTTTCACCAAGGAAAAGAGAAACTTGTGAAGGCTTTGTAGGAATCAATGAGCACTCAGTGCTGCTGGAAATGGTCCATGCACACGAGATCTGCTGCCCCATGGGTGCATATGAGACTTGTCAGGAGGTTACTGTGCTAGCACAGCCATGGCCCTGGGAGACCTTCCAGCGACCTCATTTTCCACTGAACACTATGTGACCGTTGTATACTTCTCCAGCTTACACACCCTGAGCAGTCAGAAAGCTCTGACGAGCTTTGCTAAGTGCATCTGCTAATTGTCTGCCCTTTTACAAAAGCAGCAATGGTTACTCTCACCGTGAGGGCCAGAATTTCTCAGCAGCTGCTGCCCTGTCCCCTTCCCTTCCTCTCTTCCTTTTGTAAAGGTGTGTTTGCCTCTGCTATGACACCTGCAGTGCTGGCAAAGTGACACTGCACGGGAATTCTCATGCCTGTGGCACTCGAGTCCAAGGCACCAACGAGAGCAGGTGCTGAAGTTCCTCTGACTGTGATTTTGGCCTAACACTAGTGCTCCTCACATCCTTGCAAAGTATAAAACACCTTATGATAGCTGTGGTCATTTGTGCTTTCTGGTTGTCGCTCGACTGTAGAACGCAGTCACTTAGGCTACCCCTGTCCAGCTGCCACCGCAGGGAAACTCTGTTGGCTGCTATGGAGTTACGGCACAGGTTAGGGCAGACCAGTGTCCGTCCTCGGAAGGCAGCGGAGCGTGGCTGTGCGTTAAAGAGCCTGCTGTTGTCTGGTAGCTGAGGCACCTCTGCAGTGTACTTAAAAAACAAAGGTAGACATAGGAAAATTAGGAGCCCCCGTCATGTCCAGTCTGTCTGTCAAAAGGGTTTCCCACTTTATCTGGCAGCTCACCTGATCTATTGCAGCCACATTCAAAGGGGTATAATCAAGAAAAGGGTAGAAAAAAGAAAACAATAGCTGGAGAAAATTTACCATTGATTAATGCTAAACCTAATGGTCTGTGATACCACTTCAGTAGAAGCCATTCAGTGAAATAGCATCCACTCGATTTCACTTATTCCAAATATGAGATATTAAGGACCGTCTTGTCCTCCCATTTGCACTGCTGTAAATCCAAAACCACACATCCGATTTCAGAAGAGCCACGCTGGATTAGCAGGGGTGTAGCAAATCATTGTATAGCTTGCAATAAGCAGTTCATTCTTCTGATCTTAGAGCCTATAGGAGCAGCTGTCCTGTGATCTTACACGGCCTCTTAGAAAACGAACAGAAATTATTAGATGTGTAATTTTATTTGCAGTCTAATTTTGCTTATTTTCTAGAAGGCCACAATTTAATATGTGTGCACAATAAAGGTAATATTCAAATATCTCGTGCGTGGTGCTTTCTCGTCTTAATGATGGCATGGATAGGGCCTCAAATTCCACAGAAATATCCCAGTAGATCATAATTCCGTGTCTCCCCACACATTTTTCCTGAACATTTTCATCAAGAGCTGTCATTTCAGATTCTGAGTAGACAAATGAACCTGAAATACCATTGTGTGACATTACCTGGTTGCCTGCATGTTGTTGCTAGTAGCCCCTGGCCCATTAAGAACTCACGCTCAGAAATGTTTGGGACACTCTCATGTAGCTCAGCTGATCACTCCGTTTTGAGGCTAAAGCGACAGGAAAGGTATTTTACACTGTTGGCAGCCACAGATGAAACACTGTGGGACAGAAGAGTCATGAGATTGAAGTTCACTTTTGTGGCAAGGGTAAGGCAAGGGAGAGTCAGTGGGATGTCTGGACAGCTACTGCACGTACTTTCTTGACAAGCACAAAACGCCATCTCCAGCGGCCGGCATCAGCACATTTTACGAACTCACAGTTCTCAACAACAATTGCCTGTGACACAGAACAAAGCTGGAAATACATCAAGTATCAGTAAAGTTATCCTCTGTAAGCAAACAGCAGCTCTGGCATTTTGGAAAACAGAATGAGCTTTAGAAATGGCTGAGGATGCCAAAAAGTTCACAGAAAACACAGAAGAATGAATATTCTCCCTACGTCTTGCTTCCGCGACGCAAACTCTTCCGCAGTTACCAACTGTTTCCATTCCCAGAAATAAGACTCTTCATCCCAGTGGACTGCCAATGGCTGTGCAAGCTGTGAGAAGGAAGATTAATGCACGCTGAGATGAGAACACACTGTATTAGCATGCAAAGTATTTGCAGATCGTTAGCCATTTTGACTCAGACATGAACATCATTATGTTTGTAAATTACTGGACATCAAAATAAGAATATCATTTAAAGGGTAAAGGAATACAGTCAGGGTTATGCACTTAATTATATTTTATAAAAACAAGATAGGTAAAAGAAAGGTTTACATTAAAAAGTACATAAATAGAAGGAACCCTCCCTGCCCCGAAGTCCAGACACATGCTAAGCCACCTCCTCCCAACATGCCTTCGTGACCTACAATCACATATTGCAGCATTAAAGGCATTGCTAGAAATTACCCACAGGCAAGAAGCAAAACTGACTGGTTTTTATTGTCCCAACTGAATTAAATGCACAAAGCAACTAAAGATCTTAAGATAATTTTTAAAATATTTAGCTGTAGTTATCTGTGACGTTACTTATAATGCGAACATGAATCCTTTTCTCTATGTCCAAATGCACAAAACACATACACAAAATGAGTCAGATCTGCAAAGTGCTGAGCCCTTGCATATCCAGCTGAGTCCACAGAGCAGCATATCTCTCAAATCTCTAAATATCAAGACAAAAAAATGGTAAAGTTACTGACCCTTTGTAAAAGTCCCATAGAACAGCCAAAAGCATTTTTACTGAAAAAACTATTTATTCGTTTAACATAAAATATCTAGTGTGGAATTAAACTATCCAATGTTGCATCGGTAACATAGGAACAAAAGGAGTATTTTACAACAAGCTTGATATACACAAAGTTTTTAAACATTAAAATGTATCCAGCTTAGAAACTGTACATTCAAACACAGGAAAACATTCAATGTTCTTTCGGCAAGCATTTAGGAATAATAAATCATTCCATCAAAGCACACTTGGAGAATTATTTTTCCCACAACAGCTTTGCACATTAATATATTGGACAATTAGCAAATCTCTGAATCCCACAATTCTGTTTGCTCTCAATTTTAATTCAAAATCATCTCACTTTATTGTTTTAAATGAACTAGCTATATTAATTCCTTCATCAGTGAAAAATACTTGACAGTGTGTAAAACAATCTTTGGAAGCTTATTATATACATCAATGGTGTTGCCATATTAACAAAATATGACTTGTGATTATTTATAGGCTATTGTGTATCAACCCAAATGTTCTTCAGTTTTTTAGTGAACAATCTAAAACGTCCTTCCATCATTAACAATATGCAAGGACCTGCAAAACCTGAACTTCAGTTCTGTTTCTCAGTGCCCAAGAGGCTCCTACTGATTTCAGTGAGGTGGGATCAGCTGTGGCGGGCTCCTACCCGTCGTCCTCTATTCAGCTAATCCAAAGCCCACGAATGTCCGTGGGAGATTCTCCCAGACTTCAGTGAGCTTTGGATCATGCTTTAAGCATCACTGTCTTTAAGACAAAGACCCAGAGTATGAAGACGTCTCAGCAGGACCAATCTTGGTATTTATACCAGTATATACATTTTCAACGCAGAATTCATAAAAAGTGAAAAGCAAAAATGCCTTCAATTTTTTTTAATACTGTAAATGTCACAGGTTAAAACTGAACTACTCAACAGCATCAAAAGGTTTTGCATTACGTATAAATCTTTACCTGGGAAATGTTTTATTTGATGTATACACATGTGCAAATTCATGAAATACATATACTTGACCTAAAACACTCTGAATGCACACTTTGAAGGCCACTGCAATGCAGTCCTTTAAAACTGTTGAATATTGACTCAAAAAAAATGAAGTGATATGTGAACATTAACACCGGAAAAGCAGAATTTTAACTAAAGGCGCTCAATAACAAACAAACTTAGCAGCTAGGCTGTAAGGTGGCATTCCTTCAGGCCATGGATGTCATGCACTTTATATTCTTTCTCACCTCTAATGCAGGCTTACGCCCTCCCGAATCCTCCTAGAGGCCATCCAGTTTTGGGGTGTACACCTAACAGTAAACACAGCTCATGGCAAGCCCACATGGCGAGAGACATGTAAGCATCTGGGTGTGCCCCCGTCAGGTGTGGGCTGGCATGCTCTTGAGTGCCTTCACCAACAGGAGGAAGAAGATGGCAGTCAGAATCGTCATTGAAGGGTGAACCATCCATACTACGCAAAGGCAAGCAGGTTTTCTAGCTTGCTGGTCACACGTGTGGTCTAATATCTGATCTAAACCCATCCAGGAACTGCTTCCTCACTGCCAATGTCCTGTCCATCTCTCACACATCGGAGGGAGAGTCCAAGGGAAAGAAGTCCATCTATCTCTACTTTGAGGCAGCACTGAGCTACCCCAGTTGCACAGTGCATTAGGGAGAATTATGCAACTACAGCCTGACAGGAGGAGGTGAAAACAAATTATTTGCACTGGTTGTCAGCACCGTGCGAGCCCTGTCTGTTTATTGGGGATCGACTGGAACTTGAGCTTGCTGGAGATGGAGCACACAGGATACAGAGACAGCAGAGACAGAGATAACCAACCCAGCACACAGCAACAGCCACTGGAACAGACAGTGTGTTTCTATGCCATCAGCCACATGTAAAGTGGGATCCCCTGTGAGCTGAACTGCATTTTTGTATTACTGAGAAAGGGAAAGTTTGCCTGTTTAGACCAACCGCTTCTGGAGTCTTTCATTGCAGTCACCATCATCGAGTGGTAAATGAATGGACAGATATTTTGGTGCCTTGTCAAACTTTAACTTTTCTCAGCAGAAGATATCCACACACAGAATATCAATAACCTCTTTGGCCTTTTTTTATTAGTTTGAGTTTCCTCAGTTTTGTTAAGGAATCATCCACTTCTAATCTTCCTTCAGTGCTATAAACAAACAGCCTAACATGTCTTGGAGCATTATACTGCACTACAGTGCTGTAAAACCCTAAGTGAAAGCTGAACCCCAACTATGTTCATTTGTATTGCACCCAAACATGGACTCAGTGACCTATTCTTGCCCTACAGAAAAGGGGCCTGGTTCTCAGAATACTTAAAATATTCTACTGTGCAAAAATTTCTTGCACACGTAACTGTGTTTACGTGAGACAACTGACCACACATACTATAAAAATGTATTGCTTCCCACAGCCTAGTGATTAGCATTTAGTCCATCTCACTTACATTTGGTTGTGTGTTCCATAGTCTGGAATCCTGAAAATAAACTGAGACATGGATGAGACATGTCTCAGTTTCCTTATGCATTTCCTCGCTGCACACCCACAGACTCTGAAATCTGACTTCCTGCATAGTGACGGATTTCTGACAAACAAGACAAACTTATCCTCACCTGAACTCTGTTACATTCTCCAACAAGAGCAGAATCATCAACCTCGAGGAGCGACATCTGAAGGAGTGAAGTTCCTCATCTAAGGATGATTGCAGTTCGGCTCTTCCTATGATTTTTGTTCGTTTACGAGATGATGCTAGCTACATTCCTTTGTCACCAGCTTGACGTTACAGTCAATGTACGATCAGCAGCTATTGAAAAGTTCTGCCCAGCTGTCAGGAGGCCAGCTTCTGTTGGGAGACACTTGAAAGCAGCTCCATCCAAACTGCTACACGCAGCTGTTCAGACTGAGGCATTTTTATCAAAGGTTTTGGCTACACCAGCGCGAGAACTTACTTAGGCAAATTGAGCAGAAACATACCTGGACCCATGCAGAAAACCACAGTGTGCATCTCCACACACAAAGAGACACCAGTACAGCTGAAGCAGTCTTCACCAAGCAACAAACAGAGTGCTCAATGATTCTGGCAATGTTAGAAAAGTCAAATTCTGCTCCAAACCATGAGGATTTATATTTCTTATATAAGGTTCCATCTCTGCAACAAATACCACTCCTCACTGATGCAAACTACCTGCCTTGGATGGGAGAAACATTCAGAAAATTGTTTCCAAGCAAGCAGTGCCTGTAATTCTCAAGGAACAGAACCCATAAGCAAGGGAACTAGAAAGCATTGGTTGATTTGCTGTTATCACATTTTGTTGTTGTTGTTGTTGATGGCTCAAAAGTGCAAGGCAGGCATCTAATTCATAAAACCTATTCTGTAGTGTATGGAATCCACCGTGTGCTATGCCAGGTACACAATAAATATTAATCTTTTGTCTTTAGGCATCAAGAGTACATTATTTTAATTACAGCTTATACTGAGTTGCATTCAGTTAGCTATTTTCTTGACACGGGACATTTTAAGCTGAATAGCTGACCATGCAAGCACAACAGACTTAAGAAAAACCCTTCCTGCTAAACTTCAAATGATATCTGGATCAAATGCCTCTCAATACAGAAGTAAAGTTTTTATGTGAGCAAAGAGCAGCAGAGACACAATTTGCTTAGGCTCAACCCAAAAGTTCCTGCAGTTTGACACATGACATTGGCAGTGACAGTATGGTCAGCTTTCTATGCTTCAGGGTTGGATTTTTTGTGAAAAAGATCTTGCTCGTATCATTCATTTTTTCAGCAGGTTTTCATGTCCCATCATTCCTGTGATCCAGAGTTTGACCTGGTAACCCCTGGGGAATGAGATCCTCTCCCAACCATCTCCTGTCCCCATTCTCTGTGGCTGGACTCCTGTAAGCCACGACCTTTTGTTTCAATGGGCAAGAAGCAGGAAGCCACAGCGGCCAGCAGGCAACATCCACTGTAAACCACCAGTGTTAAATAGACTGAAGATTCCAGCATCACCTGCAGAAAAAAGGCAGAAAATACAAAATAGTACCCCTAAGCCTTACTACAGAAAGAAATACAAATAGTAATGTAGTAGTAGGAATTTTGATTACAGTATTGGAAAAAATGTTTAACATGCTCTCCTGCATACTTTCTTTCCTCAATGATTACACACACCTATTAAACACTGACAAAACAGTCTGGATTACAAGTGCCACAAGGTGCTGCTGCCCTTATGTATTAGACAGGACTTAAGCAAATCACAAGTTTTCTACCTACCCATCTGCAGAGCCACTGCTTCTGACACAGTGTTCTGAGACCTGTCCCTGTGGAGCCTGACTCCCCCAATCTCTCCGCCTAGCTCTTTCCACATACCCTGAAGGTTTGTAGCCCCCAGAACTTCAGCCTGGGATCTCAAGAGAAAGGTGGCATTGCACCACACACAGAAACTCCCTGCCTCTCACAAATCCCATCTCCATGTGGTGGCTTCCAAGGTGTCTTTACATCCATCCAGCAGCCTGCTTCTTGGTTATTTATCCCCCAACATATGGAACTCTGGAGCAAGAGGTAAATTCAGAGATGAGCCCTGAACTCTCCTCAAGGAACAGGCAAAACCAGCCTCCTTCAACACATCTTGCATAAATCGCCCTTGGTTTGGCCCTTACAGCAGAAAAGCAGGTTCTCCATCACCTTCCTGTGCCTTCTGTCTCCGAAGGAAAAGAGATTTTACCTGTGCAATGAATGGGGTTATGAGGGCTCCCACTCTGGCCATTCCACTGCATGTTCCCAGGCCCAAAGCACGCGTGGCTGTCGGATAAACCTGTGAACAAAGCATCAGCCCATTAACACTAGTGGGAAGTTCTCTTCCCTCCAGTCTCCTAAATCAATGGAAATTAATAAGCGGTACTACAGCAAGTTCTGTTAGACAATAACAATGAGATCATAAACTCATATCTGGGGTAAGGTCCATTGTGAAGAGGTCATAAAAATGACTTTCCCACCATGTTCTCACTCCCCTTAAATATTCTCATTACAAAAACAACCTCCTTACCTCAGGAGTGTAAACATAAGCAGCCTGAAATCCTCCTGAAATAAAAGCTCTTGCAATGAAGAGCAGCACAGTAAGAACATTTCTGTGAGAATAAAAAGGAGAGCAGTGTTTGGGATTGTTCTGTACAGTCTGTTTGTTTAACTTGGAGGCAAGTGCAATAAAAATGCTAAATTTGTAAGAACGATTCCTTTTGTTTTTTAATGAATCCTTTGTATTTTTTCTGGACCTTTAATATAACAATGATGCCAAACAATCTGCATTCCTACAATCACATCAGTTTTCTAAGTGTATTCATTCCAACTGACAGCTGTGGCCTATTGAAATAAGCAGCGAATGCCTAAGCTTATCTAAATAAGAAAAACATATTCCACGTTATGAATGGTGCTAACAAAAAAATGGCACACATGAGAAGGAAATGAGAGTGCAACTTTCCTGTTTAAAAGACATGAACCTACGTACCACCTGGATATTTGCAACTTTATAAGGTTTCTTATTACAAGGTTTCTGTACTATAAGGTTTTGTACAGTGCCTGAAAAGGTTTAAATTCAGAGAGCTCTCCTCTGGCTGTTAGGTCATTGCCTTGTTCGTCAGCCCCAAGGTACAGACATTGTCGCATGCATGTGGCATGAAGGCTAGATGCAGTCAGAGGCAGACTCTCAGAGCTCAGCTGGAAATTTGGTACTGTTGAGATTCAAGGGCAGAGCTGCCAACTGACTTGTTCTTTGGAAAATCTGCATGAAGGACAGATACTGAACAATACAAAAATGTGAACGCAAGTTCTTTTGAAAGTCGGGCCCCATATATCTGCAATGCCAGCTCCACCAGCCATACTGTATACAACTTCGACGTTGTGCCAGTCTGTGTCTATTGCTTCTCACGTAATTGTGCCATAGCACTTAGACCACCAAGAGCCCATGACAAGTGAAGCAGCTGAATGGGAGGCAGAGACTGGGCTTGGTTGTGAAGCACTGCCCTGGTACAGTCAGCCTGGAGAAACATAGGTAATGAATAGCAGAGAGCAGTATATGAACCAGCTACCGAGGCTCAGGACATAAGATCTGATTTAAAAATTGTCTGATGGTCACCTCCTACTCAGACATAACCTCTTATTTTCCCATTTGGATTGTTCTGTCTGCAAGATTATAGTGAAGGATCTCTCCTCTCCTGCTTCTTTTTGTTTCCTTCCAAACTCTGGTGAGAAAACCTAACACCATCCTTAATTCTTTCTCCAGTTGAGCACAACCATCTCACGGCTTTTCAAACCACCACTTCCAGTTCTCCTGCCGTAATCAAGAGAGAACATGGATAAATCAGATATAGCAGTTGTTCACCAGGTTTTACTTACCTTCCAACGCAGAGAAACAGCAGAAGACTGCAAATCGAGAAGACAAAAAAGGACAGGGCCATGGTTTTCTTGCGACCTATCCGATCAATAATCCATAGTGTTACTAACACACCTGTAGAAGGAGACAAGTTGACTGTTGGGAATTGAGCAAAGGTGGAGGAATCAGCAGCTGGCTTTTAACATAGGCTGGGTTATTTAGATTTGAAATTTAGTTATCTCTTTCTTTAAAATACTTTGCTCGCAGAAGCATCAGGCAGGGGTGTAGAATGGATTGTCCCAGCCATTGGTGCCACATGAAAACAGAAGCTCTGTGTCCCAGCCAGTGAGTCTTGCTCCATGTTCACAGCCCCACTGGTCCACACATCCACATGCCCACACACCCAGGGGCTACACGCTGAAGTAGGAGTGAGCAATCAACTCTGTTAACCACTGATTATTGCAGTGGTTACCAACGTGAATGCTAAAAATGCCTGCCTTATGTCTCATTGGAATATCTTTTGTTCAACTTCTGACCATTGTTCCCTGCTAATCTTCCTACCGCTAGACTTAAGGGCTCTTTAGAACTCAGCATTTTCTTTCCATTGTGTTATTTATAGGCTGCCATCAAATTATTTCTCACCTGCTCTTTGATAAAGGAAATAGATCAAGCTCTGTAAGTCTCACAATGTTAAGTATTCTCTCTCACGCAACTTTTCGAGATCCTTTTAAAAAGTGGACGTACAGCAAGTGTGGGGATTATTCAAGCATCAGAGTTGCCAGTGTCATATTCAGAGATATCCCTGTTAGTATTTCTTATTCCTACCTTAGTATGTCTCCGGATCAAATCAGTCCTTTCAGCTATAGCATCAATCCAAGATTACATATTCTCTTTTCTGTCCACTGTACACCGACATCCTCCCCAGAATGACTGTTATGCAGGACAGTCCTCCCATTAGGACTACACATATTTACCAGTCATAGACTTAAAACTTTTCACCTATTAAATGGCTTCTCTTTGAGCATTTGTCCCTGAAACTATAATCTAGGACAATGAAAATAACTTGACCATCGCCTCACAGTATTATTTCAAACAGATTAATACTGAAAGATCATCTTCTACATCTGAAAAAACAATGGCTATTACATACTTACTATCTCGCTTGTCCTGTGTCAAACTGTTCACTGAAATTCACTGAAATTGACTGAAAATCATGACTGAGGCTGGACAGAGCTTTAGGAAGGAAGTTCTCCATTGATTCACTATACCCACGATCCTTTTAAAATAGTTCTGGAAAGTCATTTATGGATAAAAGTTCAAGTGATTCTGCCCCTTTGATTTAATAGTTACTCTTCCTCTGAACGCCTAATATGTTGCTTGGACAGAATCCATAGTCAGACCATAGCTTCACAAAGCAATTACAAGTGATTTTATCTGTAGTGACCACATGGGCAGTGAAGAGAGCTACAGCTACTGTGTGCACTACATATATCAAGTAGTCCAAGCAAGGAGCTCCAGTGCTGTGGGAAATACATTGGCGTTAGGCCAGACAGAAGAGCCTATTTCATTGCTTGTACCAGAGCCCATTCCAATCACACTGAGCCACTGGCAATGAAGAACTGGTGCTTCGTATTGCCACTTACCAGGGAATTCTGACAGGGTTGTCCAGAGCAGATCAGTGTAGTCTTCCTCTGTCAGATATTCACAGGTCAGGCTGCACTTTGCTTTAACTTCTTTCCTTCTACTGGATACTGTGGGAGGAAAAAGAAGAAAACCAATCATTTCATATATTTTAAGTAATTTCTTTGCTTGCCTTCCTTTAGTCCTGCTATGTCTTTATCATTCTTACTGCTGAAACTGATAGAAGGGATGTACTGAAAAGACCCTGCTGCACAGCAGGTATGTTCTACCTGGAAGGTACAGCTGAAATTGAACAGTTTATAATCTTATTTGTGGCAGGATGTCTTACCTCTGCAACCGTCACTATCAGAACGAAAACTTACACTTCCTTATCAGCTGTACAGGCTTAGCTATTTTTCAGTGCAGGGCTCATGACAGTGAACAGAATTAACATCAATGATTCAGTTTCTCCCTACATAAATTGGGATACTAACAATCTATACTTTGAGAAGACTGAATAATACCGTGTCTTTGTGAAAACAAGTATTTTTAAAGGATGCATGCTCTCTTGTGGAGGCTGACCAGAGTTAGACCTCTCAAATAGCTGTTGTACAAGCTTGGGATCTGTGTCTTGTCCCAATACTACCCATCCTCTTTCTATAATTTTCCAACTATCAGACAGTTTTCACCAATGACAAGTGTTCTGAATACAATCATGCTTCCCCCGGGGAATCAAACTTCTCAAGCCTCTTCTTAATGCAGTCAAAGCACTTTTTTTTTTTTTTAACACACAAAAATCTGCAACAAAAAGGGTGATGGTTTCCCATCATTATCTTTTTTCTCAGCAAGTCTTCACAACTTGAGAACCTGGGAGCTCCACGGCAGCAGCAATCTCTATCTCAGAACTAATTAGGCCTGTCAAATCTGGAAGCTTACATTTATTCAATCACTTTCTTCTCAAGAAGAATAGATACTTTTTCTAACAGGTCTCCCTTGAAGGTTGTCTTGCTGTTTTACATTTTGGGCTCAGAGACACTGCAGGACCTCCCTGCATTGTGCACGAGATGAGGAACAGCCTAACAGCCTATCAAAAATGTTTAAAATAAGCAACCCTTTAAGTAGATGCCTTAAAATTCAGGCTGGCAGTCACAGTTCTACTGCAAACTAACAGCAGAAGGTGATCTAATAAAAGATATTCCACCACTTAACAGGGTATATTTAAAAAGAAAAGATGGACTAGTACTCACTGCTGCAGACGTCCCCTGCTTGGAAGAACTCTGTAGTTAATAAAACTAACCCATAATATGAAAAAGCGTTGGAAAACCTGCAAGGAAGAAAATGAAAGAGGAAGTCTCAGCTGGTCAAACCTATAGTAAACAACATGAATCAAAATGGAACCTACTGTGTGAGGACTTCCACTAAGTGCTACCTCAAAGCTATTTCCTATCAACATTTAGAAAATGAAAGGGCAATTAGATTGAGAATGCTAGTGATTGGGTGGTTTAATAAATTACAAATCAATACAGGTGGGGTTTTTTTGAGGAGGAGGAAGTTGCTGTATTTTAGTGATAGTGTAAAATACCTCCATTAAAAACCATTTAGAATTGTGCTGGCACTGAGCCATTTATATTTCCTCTTACCATATAAACCAGAGTAACAATGTGGTCCATCTAAAATGGGGCGTAAAAAGGTCCCTCATTTTTCCTCGGTCTTCCTGTTGAAAATAAGCAGAAGTCAGATGATCAGGGCACTCACTGGTCCTGGACTGGAGGACGCAGAGTACTATGTACTATATCTCAGGGTGAGTGTTTGGTTTCAGCTGAGGGCTCTTCAAGTTGTAGGAGCCACACCGGAGCTGGGATCCAAGCAAAGAATTCCTCTGCCAAGGGGAATTCTCTAGGAGCATAATGATATGAAAAACAGTTCATGCACAGGGCACACTACTCCTCCACAAGGAAGGTGACAATCTGTCAGAACAAGGTGGGGCTGGAAAGAGGTGAAGCAGAACTTTGCCAGTCCACAGGTGGCATATGATTCATGTGGCCAGCTCCCGTAAATTAGAGCAGCCCCTCAGGGCTTCTGATCTAGGGTAAGGTACTGAGGAACTACAAGCAGCCCTCCTGCAAGCAGACCCCTTTTAAACTGCTTGGTTCTTAGAGAGAGGGAGTGGAGGGCTCAGCCCATAAACTTGTGGCTAAGGAAAAGTACTTTCCCACCCCACCCTGAAAACAAAACCATCCAAAACTTGGAAAGCGTTCCTGCACAGCGCATCAAAATTACCGTGACTGAACCAAGTATTTGTGAAACGCACAAGACCTCAAATCCTCACTGATCCAGACCTTAGAAAATCAAATCTACGTCTCTGATTAGTAAGACACTGTCATTACCAACAGGCTCCTACCTAGCTTTACAATTTTGCTCTTGTTCAAATCTACAGGTCTCCCTCTGCTGTCCTTCCTTGCTGGCTAGCTTTGTAAGTTTCTTTTCTTATAAAAGTTCACTCTTTGTTCTGTAAATGTAGAGCTGCTTTAAATGTTGACAGGGGTGCTGAAAAGTTGGCCATATAAAGCTGAAATGAAAAAAAATCCAATGCAATTCATACAGTAATATGCAGCTCAGAAGTAACAGCCTGAATTACTCCATGCGTTAGGAGCTTGCAGCTTTCCCACTCCAGAAAATCAGGATTAGATTAAAAATGAGGTACAGCTAAAGAGTCAAATTCCATCTTGTCTCATGAGTTCAGATCTGGGAATTCTGATCCGAGTTCTTCGGTAGCCTCAAGGTTTGATTTTCTTTAATAACAGGGTCTTAGAGTGAGGTTAAACAACATTAACGCCCACTTTAAAGGTCCTTTTTACTTTCAGGATTTTCATGTAAATAAAAATGAGAAACTAACTCTTCCTCACTGTGAAAGAGGCATATATGATCATATCTCATTTTTTTATTACTGGCTGAGACATTAAAATTAAACTTAACATTGATTATTTGCTTATAAAAATACATATGAATGTAGCACAGTTCCATTGCATCTCACGTTATTAATGTGCCTGTTACCTGTACATACCTGTCTGGAAATAATTAATTTTCCCAAAGGCATTGGAGCTCCATTTTCCGTTGCTATACGCTTTAAAGTGGCAATTGCTTTTTCTTGATTTCCAGATAATACATCATACCTGGCACTTTCTGGCAGCCACTAAGAGAGCAAAACAGAGCACATGCACAATGATGTCAAAAACACAGCAATAAACAAACTGGGGATTTTCTTTGTGGGCTTACAGTGGGAAATCTCAGTGACTCCAGCAGACTACTCACATAAGAAAGGATTACAGAATTAATCTTTAACAATTCAGAGAACCATTTTTCTGCCAAACGTCAAACTCATTAGGCTTTAAGAAACTGCAAAAACTCCAGTCTAAAATCTTTCCCTTCTGTTACCTTGGTTAGGCATTTTGCAGGTACTTTACATTATACCTTCTCAGTAGGAAAGACAAAGCATCCAGGGCAGATAACAAGATGCTCTAGGCATTCCAAAATTTGCATTTTTAAGCTCCTTTTAAAACCCAGCATGTTAGCACCTGTATAACTGGAGGTATTTCTGAAAAACAACGTCAGTGACTAAGAAAAAACAAGAGCTGCTAAAGAACCTGACAAGGACATATATCTTTGAGAAGACTGAGTGATTGGCAATATATTACCTAATAGTGCACTGAAGCTCAGGTTTAACTGATATATGTCTTATTTTAGAATCTGACCTGCACTATGCAGATTTTACCCCTGATTCGGGTGGATTTTTTGAGTGGACACTAATTATAAAAGTTATGATTCTGACAAAATAATTTAAAAATCTAAAGAGCAATCAGAGAAATCGCAACAGCTTTTGATAAGATGTTGATTCCACTGAGCTTAGTTGAAACAAAGTCATTAAATTGGAGAGGTTTCCAGGCCTGATTTGGTTTCACAAAATTCCAGCCCACCATTGTCCTCCAGCAATTACAGTCACATAAACACAGCTCACTGGAATGTTTTTACTAGCACCCTGTTGAAACAACAGCATTTTTGTCACTATTTCAGATGTTTCAAAGAAGACACCAACAGAGAGCTCAAAACTGTCACGATTTCCTTCAACCAGGTTACAGAATCAGGTAGAGAAGTGGTAGATTGATGGAACATACATTCGCCTTCGAAAGAATACCTACAAAACATAGGACAGCGAAGAGCAAAAGTGGGAGGGCAGAAAGAATGAGAAGCCACCGCCAGCCAAGAGTGGGCATCACCAACACTGCTAGAAGGACTTCAAACACAGTCCCAATGGCCCAAAAGACCTGCCAAAGGGAAAAGAAACAGTCACAAATGAGAATAAGAACACTCTTAAGGCCTCCTTCTTTGTAACATTCCAGGACGTGCTCTCTAGGGACAGCTGGAGAAAGAAATGCCAGAGACATTTCAAATATGCACCACTGTATGGAAATAGAGTCCAGACATTTTGAGGGGATTTGTTTAAATGTTGCAGAAGCTAAAATATTCATTTCTGAAAACCTAGCATCGACTTTCTCTAGACACTCATGTTTAACTGTAGGTAGCTTCTTGTAAGGAATAAAATAATCACATGGTGTTTCTTAAGCAAAATGACTATTATGTATCCGTCTATGAGTATTATTCCCAGCTACCACCATGAGATTTATGGTATTTGCTTTCCTTACCAAAACCAAACAAGGAATTGATACCTTCTTAGCAAATAATGGAGCTGGCATCCTCTTGGATATCCTACCCATGCAGGATTATTCTCCTTCAGATTATGAATCCACTTAGCTCATTATTTAACGCTCAGAATATATTTCTAACACAGGGTTGCTCAGAGGCAGCCAAACTGCCAGAAAAAAAGTGACACAGAAAGGAGTAATTCATCTACTGAACTCTATTTACGAAAGATTAATCAACTGAATGTAGGACTAGCCAGCAGATATCTTAGTGGACTGGTTTTGCATTGCGAAGCTGTTTCAGTTTGGTGAGGTTTTCCACAAGGATGCTCCTTCCAAACTGACTGATGCAGACAAGTAATAGTACTGTTCTCTGACCCTTTAACCATCCATTAAAGGGCTGTGAATTTTGCCTTGAAGTATTTATAGGGCAAAATTCTGCTCTCTGTGACTTTGATACATTTGGATTGAATATGGGGAGCTGAATTTAGTCCTGCATTTACTGAACAGTCAGTTCTCCACTATCCATTACTGAGTTGTAGATTAATTTCACCATGAAATTAGGTGACACCCAAATGTCCCCCCTTGTGCTAACAACAGTAAATTATGCAGCACTGGATGCAAGTTAATTTGCAAAAAGGCAGATTCAACAAAAATGTGGAGCGTTACATGAATGCTTTATGCTGCTTTTGGATCTGAGCTCCACACTGATTTGGACAATCAAGATTTGACTGCAGCTATGTTTGAGATTTCTAGTCAGTAGGATTGAATGGACGCAACCAATAGCAGAATTTGTCCCTCTAGGGACCAGTACGCATAGCTACACTGCTCACCTCTATTAATAAAATGCATTTTGCTCTGGCTTTCATTGGAAGAAATTCAGCATATAAGGTTACCCTGTAAAGAGTGAACATTGAGAAAAATGTCATGTTAGCAGATTGAGAAAAATGCCACGTTAGCACAATAAGAGAGGTTCAAACATTTCATTTGCCTTTTATTAAAATTGCCAAACCCATAGTAGTAACGCAAAACCCTTCCTAGCCCTCAGAGCCGCAAGACTGTGGACACTGGTTCAGACTCCCCTTTCTAAATCAGAACAAAACCCCTTTAGTTCATCATTGCAGTGGAGGACAGAATTTGCTCTGTTCATGTGACTTTGTAACCCTATAGTTGTTAGCTAAATGTAGCAGTTCTTGATGCACATATTTTCACAACCCTGCTCTGGTCTGGGACAGGCATTATGCCTGTTATTTTCAGTGTGGTCCATCAGCATTCAACACAAACTCTTGTTGGGTAAAGTATTTCTTCGGGGCTTTACAACTGGCTCAGAGAATTTCACATCAGCCTACTCTGCCAGGTTTCAATTCTCTAAGAGGTGAATACTTTCAAAGTCTGATCCTGTTACTGGTATAAAACAATTTGCATTCTTTTATTGTGGGAATTCAAAAAGAAATCATCTAACTCTGCAGAGTCTTTGTTTCATGACTGTGCCAAAGAGTAATGGTACAGTTCTCTCTGAGTACTTCCTGAGGATGAACGCAAGGGCCAGCAGCCAGTCAAGACTCTCGTGTCTTCTTCAAACCGTCTGGTAAGACTTGTCGTTCTTTCCTCCTACTCTGTTTGCATTCCATTGACTCATCCTGTTTCTGCCTCTAAACTCCTTAGGCTTTCTTTGATGTTTGTGACAAAACTCCTACTAACTTGACAAATGGTGGATTGATCTCTGAGTAGCTTCCCAGAACTCAGTTCATCGAAGCACGAAGTTGCACACAATATTATATTAAATCAGCGATTAAAAGGAGAAGGAAGTAAAATCACGTAATGAAATGTAGAGCAGTCCCCTATATACTGCAGCAGAAAACAGGAGCTGATTAATCCTGTACAGAACTGTTTTCTTAGAGAACTCTCCATATCTTTGCAAGTCTGGATGTTGGCACTGTGAATGAATAGTCACACTCAGTGTTAGATAATATCTCTCAGAAAATTCCCACAGGAGGCCACAGCTTCTCAGGTGCAGCTCCTACATACGTATAGATAGAGGGATATCTGCTATAGTCAGATAATTTATTATTGCTGGATGCTTTCTTTTTAATGGCACCTTTCATAAAAGTCTTTCTCTCATACCCATTATAGAATCTACAATTATTAAGATACCCATGTCATTCCATTGAAATTCAGCCACTCATATCTAAAGTTACATAGCCTACTTAAGGATATTAGAAAGGAGCTACTTTCCCTGCTTCATACATATTTACTCCTCTGTCAAAGGAATCACTATTCTAGTTAGAACAAGAAATAGACTCAGCAGCAATGGAATCCACTCGGAGTTCTGTAACCGGCTCTTCTTTGTCTCACATTAAGTCACGTAGCCTTTGTACATTATCCGCCCCTCTGTAAAATGGCACTAGCTGTGCTGTAGCTGTTCTACTGGGGCTCTGTGGAACATCATTAATATGTGTTTGCAGTATAAGGCATTATTAACTCTGACGCTTTGTCTTTGTTGTTCTCCTGCCTCATTCCAGTTGTGTTCAGTTGCAACTGCACGGCAGAAACTGCCTCACCATTGGTCAATACACAGCAGGCTAAGGACTTTCCTATTTTACATACACGTTACGCTTTTGTGCAGCTTCTAAGGGAGGGCAGGAGAGCAGTAAAAGAAAATTAATAATACTGTGATGTTCCATCTCAGCTCTGAATCTTTTATCTGGGAATGGCAATAGAAAAGACAGGATATTGAGTTGCCTTGTGAAGAAGTCTATGAGCCATCAATCAAAGTTAGACTCTAACTACTCTGAAATAGCACCTCCATGGGGCAAAATATCAATTTTTAATAAGGATAAAAGACTACACAGAGAGAGAATGGCTATACTCTTCCCTTTACATTTATAATTAAAAGGCTAGAGCAGAGTTATTTATTCCAGGTGGAAAATTTAGAGATCCCCCTCTTCAGTGAATGGAATGACACAGTAATAGAGAATACCCTGATGCTACCTTCTTCTTAGAAATGTGTCTGAGCCATCAAGATATCTTCAGTGCTCCAGGTTTGGGCTGTGTGGTTTTGGAATTCCAACTCAGGTTCAGACGTGAAAGTTCAGGCTCTGACTGAACGATAATCTGCAGTTTTACAATCAGGAGTCAGGGCTCAGCTCTACCTCTAAATGCTAGTGTTTAGGTCATGACCTATCTTGCAACAAGACCATGTCATTCCTTATGGACTCTGCAAACACAATCTAGCAATGCAGCGTTTAGGCACAGCTACAAAATGCTGTCTGTTGTGTTTTACCCACTTCTGGGTGGGCTCTCTGGGCCTCTCATTTTCACCATGGTTTACCTGAGGGAATGAGAGAAGCTTAAAAGGACTTAAGCCATATAACATACTACATTTAGGAACCCAGCTTGTTCACATAGAAGTCATTGTATATCTGATTCACCTCAGTGATGTATTAGGTATCTTCAAAGCCTTCTCAGAGTTTAATATATTAGTTCCAAAATACTTAGAAAAAAATGGGTTTGGGACAACTGAACAGACGCATGTCTTCAATTTGACATAAGCATTTTTAAAAAAATAAATAGAAAAGAGAAAGTTTGGACTTGTGAATATTTACTTACGACTGAGGCACTCCTCCAATCCCAAAGCCCACCAGGCCCCTCAGCACCAAGATCCAGCTATACACTGGTGCAAAACCACTGAGGATCCCATAATACAGCGTCCACAACACGCTGATCTTTAGGCCCTGTATTTAACAAACAAGCACGAGGAAAAGAAAGTCTCTGCTGTAACACAAATTAACAAAATGTAAAGTAGAGCTTCAAACTCCTTTTATTTCCTGAGAGGTCAATTCTGGCTCTGCTTAATTCTGCTTCATACATGTGGACTATGACACTTGTGAACATCATGCACTGAAACATCCACACCGTAGAAATATTAGAATATATTCCAATAGGAGCTGAAGACTTACTGTTTTTCTCCCATACTGGTCTGAAATATTTCCCCAGAGGGTGGAGCTGGACATCATTCCCACAAACACCACCTGTGAAACACCAGAAAAAAATATTCCCCTTAACAACAAGACAAGTGAAAATTTCCACATGACAGCAAACAGAACACAACTTCACAGTGAAACTAGAAAATTTCAACTCTAACAATAGAGCAAAATGTCCAGGTGTTTTGGGTATAGTTCCTTTGCAGTAGAGACTATTAAAGATAATTATTCATACAGTGGGATTTTTCAGAAGTCACTCAGCATTAGCCTAACTTCACTTCCATTGACTTGAAAGGGAATTTGCTATTGCCCAGGAATGGGGATGAGGGTCAGCAGACTGTTCAAGCCAGGGTCTCTCAGCTCCTTCCAGTGGTGGGCCCATTTTCAGTAGTTGCCTTGCTTTTGTTGAGGTCAGGAATCCAAACACAGCATAAATAAACCAAATCTCTGCCAGGCTACTTGTCATCACCTCACCCTTATCTTACCTGATAATTTGTGAACTACTGAATTAGACCAGTGGAATCTCTGCCAGGCTACTTGTCATCACCCCACCCTTATCTTACCTGTTAATTTGTGAACTACTGAATTAGACCAGTGCTGAATATTTTTGAGCTTTTGATAAATGGAAGAAAATGAAAGAAGGAACGAGACCCTCCTTCACATGGGCTGGCTGCATTCAGGTATGGGAAAGGACATAATCTTAACTGACTTAACTCTACTGAGCATTTTGACCAATTTACACAATACAAATGGCATCAAAATCTAAAGGAAAAAGAAATGTAGGAGTTAAAGTGCATGCAATACAACAGTGGCATATGCTGAGAGCAGAGTCCCAAAACTAGTTTTCTTATCCCTAAAGGCATTGCATGTTTCCAACATCATAGCACCATACTTAAGAGGTGGTATTGTAAGAGCTCTGCTTGCAAAGATCGCAGGATGATCCACCTCGAAAAGTGATTGCTTGCTCTCTCTCACAGCTCCCAGTCTGTCTATGTACAAGCGAGCTTAAATGTGGTGAGAGAGAAAGATTTTCAAGAAAGATAGTAAAAAATTACCCATCTTTTTTTTCAATTAATCAGACGGTTTGAATTTTAGGATGAGTCGGAGTCAATTTATGTATTTTCCTGGAGATTACATGAAACTTTGAACCTGAAACTTGCAAAATTTCCTCAGTTCTCACTGAGTTTCATTTCTTTAAGCTCTGGCTTTTAAAAAAGATTCCTATATTCTTCCGAGCCGAAGGCAATCTGCAAAGGCCAGGAACAGATTTAACTTTGGGATATAAAGCATAATGTCTGAATAACAGTGAGTGGAAAAACCTTACAGAATACAGGAGCTGTCAGTTATTTTTCCTACCGATGTGAGCAATGCAACCTGCCAGCTTGGTAATCGCCACTCACAATGAAGCTGAGGAGCTAGGATACTTAAAATCATCATTTCCATAGCATCTGCCATCTAGAAGGGTAAAAAAGAAACAAAAATAAATAACTGCCTAAAAATTAGATTGACATAGCAGTCAAAAATATACTTTCTTGAAATTAACCTTGTTTCTGCTGGTGCCATTCCCACTCTGTAGGTGAAACAAAACAGTTATGTTTGCAAGGTACAGTGGACGTACACAGTGTTGAGAAAAAAAGCAACAGGTACACTTTTAAACTAATTTCTGATTGTCATAATGTTTAGTAACACTGGCAGAGAGGATTCAAAGAGCCAAACCAACAGTTATCAGTGGGTGATTTCGAGGAGGCTTGTCTGGTCAGTCACTTCCATATTGCATATTACAGGGATGAGCTTTCAACTCCTTTACACACAGATTCAGTCAGAACTGTTTATTACCTTGGAACTTACTCCCTTTCTCCCTTATACACTACTTCTGGATTTGTACCAAAGATACCGATAGATCATCTGCAGACCAAATTCCGCTATTGACTTAGCATCTAAACCACGGCAGATTGTAACCTTATACGTAGACAATAGCTGGTAAATACAGGCTCCAGATATCATTACCCTAAAATGTACCCCAGATGTAGATGTAACATACAGTGCTTCAGAAACAGCAGAAAAGTGAAAACCAAGACTGCCTTTCTGTTCTTGATATCCAGGTTAAAACTGGAAGTACTGGATTGCTGTTCACCTGAAACTGAGATTACAATACTACTGACTAATACAGAAAACAGAGATTGTAGCTAATGGGATGAATATGGTAAAAACACTGTATGAAAACTGAGATATGCTTCTGTAGGAATAGCCTAGTACCCGTTCCATTTGAAACAAGCATTTGAAGTAGAGAATCAACATCATTTTTCAAAGCCTGATTTATAAGAACTTCAGAGACAGAGAAATCAATGTTATTCATTACCCCCACATAATTAGTTTGAGTCCAGCTGTCATTCAGAATTTCAAGTAAAATTCCTTCTTTATTGTACAATTATCTGTTTGGAGACTTTTTGTCAACAGAGAATGGCTACATTATTTGAAATCACTGAGATTCTCTAACTGATGATCATGCAATTGACCTTGATAACAATTACTTGCCCATGCTAATCCAGTAATAACAGACAGCTTCCACTGGAACTTTCCAAATCCGATGGCTTCCACCGCATCTTCCACCATGAAAGTATCTAGAAAGAAAACAATTCTAGTGCAGAAGTGTATTGCTTTCTGAGTAAGAGTCATCCCTTGAGACAGCATTTTCTGTGAATGCAATTACTTATTAACTGGGTAATCTACTGAGATCTAAAATATATAACAGAGAGCTACTTAGCTTTTATACAGTTCCTACTCAGGAAAATCTCTATGTTCTTCAGGAATTGGGCTAAAGCCAAAATAATTCTAAATATTGCTAGAATATTTTATTCACATAGAAGTAAATCAGCGTAGCACCAATGACTCCAGCACATGTTCAGCCTATTACTCCTGGGAGTGACTCTGCCAGCCACTGAATTGCAGCTTCCTCTGGTGAGAAGTATATGAGCTGTTCAACAGCACATAGGAATACTATGCAAGTGATGGAAAATGCAGACGAATATTTTATTGCATGGAGAGTCAAACTGTAATTATTTCAATCAAGAATTTGTTCAAGACACATACATCTTAAAACATACTTCTGTTAAAAATGCTGATGGTTCTTTTTTCCCACACATTGTCATGACTTGATTATTTTGTTCCATCTGAAGAAGCTGAGATATCTCAAATTCCTTTGAAATATACAACACAAATACATTTTGATATTCAAGTGGCTTAACTCAATTTAAGTCTCAAAGTTTTAATACTTCCAGCAGTTTAAAAAGTACATTTGCCACAAAAAAGCTTTATCTAGCTAAGAGTTGGACATCCCCACAAAGCAAAAGACAAAAACACAAACCAAAAGGAAATCAGACAAAATCTCACTGATGAAACGAAGCAGAGATGTCGTAAGACCTCAGTTTGTGACTTCAACCCAGGCATTTGGTGTGATAGCACTGAAGCTCAGCATATTGGGTTGTTGCATCACTTGCACTTTTTTGGGCGATGTGCCAACTGAAATTGTACATACATCTGCAGACTTGCACTGAGGCACTGAGTCTTTTGAGAAACTCATTGAGCTCACTCCATGGTATTCTGGCTTCCTATTGCATCAATTTGTTAATAAGTAAGTCCCTGGGAAAATAGTCATCCTACAAAATTTTAGTATGCCTTGTGCTAAGACAGAAACAATGCTTCTCATATCTTCTAAACTGGTGTTGCCTTCAGGGCAGTCAGCACTTCTCAGCTAGGCAGAAAGCAGAGGCTGGGATGTACACTCGTTCTGTCCCTCTTGTCCTCTAGGCAAGGAGGAGACAGGAACACTGCAGAGGCTTCATGGTCAGCCTTGAAGGTGAGCCACGTGCAACTGCTCCAGTAACTTGGTGACGTTTTAGGAGCACTGATCAGTTCTAAAGGAAACTAAGTCAAACCTCCTGTATGAAATAGGTGGTGACAACTGGATACACAACTACTTAAAAGGGTCTGTTACTGGTAATATAAAAACAAACACATACTGCATCCCTCAGAGAATAAGGTAGCTAAATCATGATTTTCAGGTGTAACATAATTTGCCTGCGTTATTGTTTTCTTCTTTTATCTGGGGATCCTTAACTTCTCTAAACCAAATGTATTCAGCCTAGTTGCAACATGACTGAAATGAAGAGGCCACACCTTTTTCCTTACAGAAAAACAAGAAACCTACTCACCATCAGTTGGGTTGGCAAATTCTTTTGGCACTGCAGCTCCATCCTCTAGCTCAATAGGCTCTAGCTCTGTCCGAACACCCTCAATCTGAATTTCATGTTCTCCTGAAATGACATCCTCATCTGACTTCGAACTTTCCCCAGTGCGGCGAAACTTGACCACCCTAAGAATACAGAAACAAGAATTAATACTTTGGTGGGTCTTTTCCAGGTCGAAGCTGTGTTTGGTTAGTCTTGAAGCCCTATTTGGTCAAAGAGCAGCCAGGTTGCTCCCCACCATCCTGTCTCCATTTCACATTCACAGAGAATGCTGTGACTTTTATTTGTATCTGCTTTTAGACAGGGTATCCTGTTGGTTGTTACTGGCTTTGGAAAAACTACAGAGGTACATTGCTATGTGATATAATCATCATTTTTGTACAAAGAGGATGTTATCATGCTAACATATAAAGTTATAAAAACATACAGGTTATAAAAATATGATGAAATCATACATATTTAGTGATAACCATGTTTTCTGTGCCTAGACTTTTATTGCAAATTAGACATAGCTGTGTCATTGAATTTGAATTTGAATTTGAATTTGAATTTGAAACAAGTGCTTTGTCTTTGTAGATTTTCCACATTGTTTTCATAAGAGTGATTTGTGTCTTAGGAGAAGCGGAACTCCTGAAATTTGTCAGATTTTTAAACATTACTTAGTGAAGTAGGATTCATAAGATAATTCAGTGAATTGACTGATTTTTTCCATTATGTTGATGATTCTGTGACTATAAATGTGATTGCTTTCATCTTTTACCTTAAACTGAAGTCGGGATATTATGTAATTAGTTAAATACCTGTATTTTAAGAAACTATTTGATTTCCAGTACTTGGTTCATCTGTGCATTTTTTTAATCTCTTAGGTAATGAGGGGGGACAGAGTAAGAAAGTGAATCAAAGATTACGTCTTTTTTCATTAAGTTCAAGTCAAGACTGAAGAGTGTATCTGCCTGCCAGTTACAGCCCTGGCATATGAGATGATGATTGTCACAAGAGTGTCATGCTCACAGCTGTCTGTATTCTATATAATTTCTGGCACTCGCTGAGAGATCATCGTCTGATCTCTGCAGCAAGGCCACAGAGAGAAGACATGAAACCAAAACTTTGTTAAATTGACACAACTTTGACGTTTTGGTTAGAGTGATTTTGTGCAATGCTTCATGTATAGAGGAGGTCCATTTTCCGTCCGTTAAGTTTCCTGTGACCAAAGAAAGATTTTGAAACAAATCTACCATATTTAATGTAACAGATTCCTCAAGCTTCCTTCACTTTACCTGCAACATCAGTGTAACTTTTTCACCTTGGCAACTGACAATTTCTTGGACTTCGGTTAAATAGTGTTTTGGAAATAGATTAAATTAGTCTTGCTACTACCTCTTCTGACTTCCAGTACCTGAACATTTTAATTCTACAATAAAGATTAGCAAAGAGTCTCTTGAAGTTCATTTTAATCCTCTGGTTTAAGGGTCAGCAAAACTAAACTATCAGCATCCTTGCCAACTGCAGCTGCAGCAAACTGACATGCATGTATGACATTTCTAAAGGTGATCTGAAAGACTTTTTGTATTTGGCAAGACCTCAACTCTTATTTTCTCTTACAAGTGCAGATGACACAACCAATACTTAATACAAGGGCAAAGTGATGGGCAATCTACAAAACTCCTGTAAATGGATTTTGGTCCAATGGTGGAAAAGAGGATGGAGGAATAAACATCTCAGTCACCCATGGGGTTTTTTACAAAGAGAGGAGTCCTCGCCACGACCAGCCATTCAGTCCAGCTTAAGATTTCAGTATGGTAGAAACATAAAGCAGAGGGATACAAAACTTTTTTTTCTCACAGGCCTGGCACATATATTATTTCCCTGACCACATCCCGTCTGGGGAATTGCACATACTCACTAATGATATTCTGGCAGTAACCTGGAGAGAGAGAGAAGTACAGTGACCATTTTGTGAGGTTATCACTCATCTTTAGGACAGCCTGCTTTGCAAGCTGTTGAGATGTTTTGGGATGATTTTTTCAGGTAAACAGGGCATTCCAAGATCTGTACTACTTTAGTAATGCTCTCATCTGTAGCAGGAAACTGAAAGCTTCTCTCTGGTCTTTATGTCTTGGCAGACAAATAACAGAGTCACAAATTTTTTTTTCTAAGATAACATTTGAAGATCTTAAACACAAAAACACAGAGCAAAACCCCAGGCCTCTTCAAAATGAGCAAGAAAACAACATTGACTGCAGTGAAACTAGGATTTATCTCACATTCTGATTTGGGGTATGCAGAGGATCCTTCACTCAGTTATAAGAAAAGACAAACAAAACAATTAAACTCATCTGAATTCAGGTTCATATTCATTGAGAAACGCAATTTTAAATTCTCTTAATCTGCTTGGTTTTTTAACCTCAGTACAGCTATCTTGGTTTGAATTTTCTTTTGCTGACCTGATAGGATAAACACAAGTAATTATTACTCTCACGTTAAAATTGTCACTGAAGATACAATCCTCATATGACCTACAAAATACATACGCTCAGCAAACAAACACTGAAATTTGTATGCCCATGAGATTACTTTTTTATTACAAAGGGCAATTAATATCAACGTACCATTCATATCTTACTTGCAATGGCTTTACAAGCACCTGGTTTAACTATACAGGAAGTAAACTTTTCTATTTGTGTTTTTTTAAAGGAAGACTATTAATATAACTTCAGCAGTCTCAAAGCCTGGTGCAAAGTTCACTGAAGTATATGGACACCTCTTCCCCAGATTTCAGGAGGTCTAAAGTGCCATTACTCTATGGGATTATGACTGAAAATCATTCATACAACCTATGCTGGTAACTGTTCAGTGTCCTAGAAAGCCACAGGCAAAATAAACATGCCAATAAAAACCTTCCTGACTTTTCAAGTACCTGATCACAAACCCCCTGTATTACTGTTTCTTATTTTGTAATATTTGTTGAAGTAGACTTTCAGAACTGACCATTTTGGAGATGATGGTTCCAGATGCTATATAAAGGCAGCGACTGATCTGAAAATCGTAAATACTTCAATGGCAACCTGAGCAGAGAGCTATCTGGCCACATTCCTCATCACAGGAAATAAAAAAATATGTTTATCACTTAGGAACCTATGAAACAAACTGACACAAATGAAGACGAAAACACACAGTGATATTTACTGTTCCATACTTGCAAAATTCTTCACAGCTGAGACATCTCAGAGAGCTGCATTTGTTTCCAAGATCTCACAGCACTGAATAAGTCTAATTACACCTACACTGAAAGGTACTTTAGGACATTTTTCTGTTTTGTTTTGTTTTGTTTTTAAAAAAAAAGATTGGGAAAAATGGCCTAATGAAATCACGTCTTATTCTTTTTACTGACAAGCTGAATGCATCCGAACTCAGTATTTGAAAATAACTGGAGTTCATGTCCATTTTCCCAACTTATTAGAAATGTTATGGGACAGTTTGCTCTGTAATTGACATGAGCTCACTAAGATTTAAAATCAACTTTAAGCATTTATTCCCTGCCTTGCAGAGACAATGATTTATAAATAGGAATATGTTTCAAAGCACCTGATAATGGCGCATTAGGAGAAATGCACTTGTTTTTAAAGGAAACATTTTGCATTCATGAAAAGGAAAGGAAATACTGGTGTTAAAAGGCAGCAATGCTTTTATCACCTTTTTGCACAGATCCAGCAACTGCATCCCAACAGCAAGGAGTTCCTCACAAATAACAGCATTTTCCTTGTGCAGTAATGTTTGCTTCTCCAAAACATACAGTTAGCAAATATTGATGATACTCACTGCAAACACACCATTGCAAAACGGTTCTGATCTGCAATCAGTTCGCGGCATGAAGGAAGAAGCTGAGGAAGATGCCTTCCCTAGCACAATGTTATTTACAGATGCAATCCACCTTGCAAATGCAATAGTAATGTTTCCTCTCAAACAACCTTTTGGCACTTCCACGGTTTTATTCCACCCCTCCTTATTTCTACTACCATCAAGTTAATGCAAAAAATAAAAATTGGGTGAATTTATATAACAAATGGATCCCTGCATGCCCCCAGGATGCTGAACCCAGGCAGCTATACACGGAAAACGGCCTGCTTCCCAGGGCCTAAGACACTTCCTAGAAATAATTCCCTTAAAAATCACCAGGATTCACAATATCCCTGCAGCCCGTTTAGAAGAAATCCTGCGCATCCCCGCTCCCCTATCGGTGCTACTCACGGCAGCTGTCTCAGCTGGAATAAATCATCCTCCATTGCCGGGCTGCGTCTGGAGGAGCTGCTCTCATCGCTCTCGCATGGCGGGGATGGCTGGAGCTGCGGGCAGGCAGGCGCGGGCGGCTGGACAGCTCCGGCGGC